AAGGGCTGTAGTGCTGCCGCTGTCCACTTTTGAGTGGTGCCTGCATATTGTGCAGAACCATCTATAAACCAGGCATGAGTTTCTCTTCTTCAGTCAACTGATCATAAGGAACTCCCTATGAGGCTATCGGTGTGGACTGGGAGATGGAAGGTAATGTGACAGGAGTGGAGACCATGGACATTTGGGCCACTTCCTCATGCAACTTGTGCCTTCAGGTCCTGCTTGGGCCCAATCTCATATATACCACTTCCATTTAGTGATGGAGAGCTGCTGTGCACTTCCAACTTTTTTACTTTGTGGGTCAGACATCACCCAGTTCGTGATGGACAGCTCAGGCCACATGGTGACTTAGTGTTCCATGGTTAAGCATTCAGTCTCTACTAAGGCTCAGTAACAAGCCAAAAGCTGTTTCTCAAAAGGAGAGTAGTTATCTGCAGAGGATGACAGGGCTTTGCTCCAAAATCCTAAGGGTCTGCACCGTGATTCACCAATAGGGGCCTGCCAAAGACTCCAAACAGCATCTCTATCTGCCACTGACACTTCAAGCACCATTGGATCAGCTGGATTATATAGCCCAAGTGGCGGACCAGCTTACACAGCAGAATGAACCTGTTGTAGACTCTTCTCTTGTTCTGAGCCCCACTCAAAACTAGCAGCTTTTTGAGTGACTTGATAAATAGGTCGGAGTAATGCACCCAAATGGGGAATATGTTGCCTCCAAAATCCAAACAATCCCACTAGGTGCTGTGCCTCCTTTTTAGTTGTGGGAGCAGCCAGATGCAATAACTTATTCTTCACTTTAGAAGGAATATCTTGACATGCCCCATGGCACTGGACCCCTAGAAATTTCACTGAGGTGGAAGGCTCCTGAATTTTTGTGGGATTAATTTCACACCCTCTAGCATGCAAATGTTTTATCAATAAGTCCAGAGTCATTGACACTTCTTCCTTACTAGGTCCAATCAGCATAATGTCATTAATGTAACGGACCAGTGTGACATCCTGTAGAAGGGAAAGGCAATCAAGTTCCCTGCGGACTAAATTATGACAGGGCTGGAGAGTTGATGTAGCTCTGCAGTGGGCAAGTGAAGGTGTATTGCTGGCCTTGCCAGCTGAAGACAAACTGCTTCTGGTGGTCCTTTGAAAGAGGTATGGATAAAAAGGCATTAGCTAGATCAATAGCTGCATACCAAGTACCAGGAGATGTATTAATTTGCTCAACCAATGAAACTACATCTGGAACAGCAGCTGCAATCGGAGAAACCACTTGGTTAAGTTTTCGATAATCTACTGTCATTCTCCAAGATCCCTCTGTCTTTTGTACAGGCCAAATAGGCAAGTTGAATGGGGATGTGGTGGGAATCACCACCCCTGCTTCCTTCAAGTCCTTGATGGTGGCAGTAATCTCTGCAATCCTTCTAGGAATGCAGTATTGTTTTTTATTTACTGTTTTCTTAGGTGGGGGCAGTTCTAATGGCTTCCACTTGGCTTTTCCTACCATAATAGCCAGCCCTTACTCCATTTGTCAGGGACCCAATGTGGGGGTTCTGCGAGTTGCT